AGCAAAGAGATTGAATAAACCGTAAAAAAACACTGAAAGTGGTGTACGGTCCGGGAAAGATTTAGTCCTGGACATGACTAGGGTTCTGTGTGCATGTCGTGTATAGAGAATTTTGCTTTTGCATTTCAATATAGGTGTCTTAAGGAAGTGTTTTCCACTCGGGTGTCAAGTCCGCGCCTGTTTCGTTTTCGAGCTATGACGTCATCAAAATGGCGGCTTGGGCAATTTTTAAATGCGTATATTTCGCATACCGTTTAACGGATCGGGGTGATTCTTTTTTTGTTTGAAAGATAATTTTACAGGAAATGTTTTTTGTATTTACACTTTTGTTGTCAACTTAATATTTATCTCACAATATTAAAAAACGTGGTTTTTAATGTAATTGTTTTTGAAATTTACCTCATAACTTGTTAAACGCTTATAGAATGAAATAACTACCCATTACAAAAGTTGTAGATAATTTTATGCCCTTTCCAACGATACCAAACAATTAATGTTTGAAACTAAAATTAAAGCCAAGAGATTAAATAAACCGTTAACAAACACTTAACATGTCAGAAAGTCCGGAAAATATTGCGGCTGGAACAATTCTTTAAATGCGTATATTTCGCATACTGGTTAAAGAACCGGGATGATTCTTTTTTTGTTTGTAAGATGTTTTTTAAGCCTATCATTTTTGTATTTACACCTTTGTTGTTAACCTACTATTTGTCAAAAAGTTATTAGCAAAAGTAAAATAAAAATAACAATTAAATGTACATTTATTAATATTGTGGGAGGTTAACAACAAAAGTGTGAAGACAAAAAAGATAGGCTTAAAAAATATCTTACAAACAAAAAAAGAATCATCCCGGTTCGTTAACCAGTATGCGAAATATACGCATTTAAAGAATTGTTCCAGCCGCAATATTTTCCGGACTTTCTGACATGTTAAGTGTTTGTTAACGGTTTATTTAATCTCTTGGCTTTAATTTTAGTTTCAAACATTAATTGTTTGGTATCGTTGGAAAGGGCATAAAATTATCTACAACTTTTGTAATGGGTAGTTATTTCATTCTATAAGCGTTTAACAAGTTATGAGGTAAATTTCAAAAACAATGACATTAAAAACCACGTTTTTTAATATTGTGAGATAAATATTAAGTTGACAACAAAAGTGTAAATACAAAAAACATTTCCTGTAAAATTATCTTTCAAACAAAAAAAGAATCACCCCGATCCGTTAAACGGTATGCGAAATATACGCATTTAAAAATTGCCCAAGCCGCCATTTTGATGACGTCATAGCTCGAAAACGAAACAGGCGCGGACTTGACACCCGAGTGGAAAACACTTCCTTAAGACACCTATATTGAAATGCAAAAGCAAAATTCTCTATACACGACATGCACACAGAACCCTAGTCATGTCCAGGACTAAATCTTTCCCGGACCGTACACCACTTTCAGTGTTTTTTTTAAGGTTTATTCAATCTCTTTGCTTTATTTTTAGGTCCAATCACATATTGTTTGGTATCATTGGAAAGGGTATAGAATTATCTGAAACTTTTGCCACGGGTGGTATTTGATTTTATCAGCGGTTAAGAAATTATAAGCAAAACAATAAATATAATAACAATAAATACCCCCGCCGCAGCAAACCTGCCGACTAAGCGAATTTCCATTTGTCTGAATTGATTTTCAGTTAAATATATTTTAATAACATTAGGTTTAACGAGTACCTAGGTTTGCTGCTACAAGGAAACTAATAAAGTGTGTTTTTGAGTAAAATATTGATAGCTTAGTACAAAATAAATATATTTGCCAAGTTTGATCAAAATATATCCATAAACAAGCAAACTACAACAATTGACAATATTCTCCATAAGAATAACATGGGTATTTTAAATTTACAATTTTTTTAATTTTCTCCGTTACTAATAACCGAACAAAAATACTTTTATATACTAAATTATTTGTTTTTTTAAGCTCTTTAAAAAGGTCTAAAGAGAAATCGGGAAATTTTGTGTTTTGAGGGTCAAAAGTGAGAAAAACCAATTTTTACCCCATAAAACCCCCCGTAAAGCCCCGTTCCCATGGTCCGATCGTGCTGGTTCGCGAACTCATTCAAGTTTATCCCGCTTTACACCTTTAAACCAAATTTCATCAAAATCGGACAAAAATTACTCAAGTTATCGCGTTCACGGACGTATATATATATAAGTCTATATATATATATATATATATATATATATATATATATATATATATATATATATATATATATATATATATACATATATAAAAATTTGAACGAATGGTGTTTTTGGCCTCTGGGGACATCAAAATGAAAAAGTAAATCGGTCCCGGGTCTAGGTCTTACCGTGCCACCTACGGTAATAGCTACTTCCCTATAGGGAAAAAAAAAAAAAAAACGACGTTTTTCAATATTGTGCGGTGAATATTAAGTTTACAACAAATGTGTAAATACAAAAAAGATAGTTTGTAAAAATATCTTTCAAACAAAAAAAGAATCATACCGATCCGTTAAACGGTTTGCGAAATATACGCATTTAAAAATTGCCGAGCCGCCATCTTTATGACGTCATAGCTCGAAAACGTACCAGGTGCGAACTTGACACCCGAGTGGAAAACACTTCCTAAGACACCTATATTGAAATGCAAAAGCAAAATTCTCTATACACGACATGCACACAGAACCCTAGTCAGGTCCTGGACTATTGATTGGCTGTTGTATTATACCGTCACTGGTGCGTAAATGAACACTGCATATTTGCATGGTAGGATAACTAATCAGCTGGTGAGCACATACCGAGCTGAATGTGTTAGGTTTACGTCATACCCAACCTTATTTTAGTCTAGAATACGTGTTTACACTCATAATAGCGAAACAAACAGCTCATATTAACTAAACTTGATTAAGGTGTTAACCAATTCAGTTTTAAATAGGAAATTTCTTAAACCGAGTCGGTAAAGATGAGGAACTATCTACAACCATAGAAATCCACCATGCTACTGTCTACTCCTTCAATCTATGCTACAACTTAACCCTGAGACACGAGCAATAACTCTGTAATATTCATCGTGACATTGTGAAGATTATGTATAGGCGTGTTTTACAGTTATTCTTGCAAAATATATTGTACGCAGCAATTGTGCACATAAGAAAGTATGATTCTGGAAGCTAATGTAGAAACGTTATTAATTTAGAACAGCTTAGTACGACTACTTTAAAATGTAAACGTAGGCCTTTGTCTCCAATCTATGACATTACATGATCCTGTTCTGTGGTTTTTTGTTCGAGATGTAAAATTAATTTCAAAGTCAGATCGAAATCAAAAGTCACAATAACGATAGTCGGAAATCGTTAAGCAGATTGATCAAGAATTAGACCTTGGTTCACTCCATTAGACCGGACTTGAATCTTCTTATCGATGTGAACACAATTTAGACTAAGGTCTGTTTTGTTTTCTTGGTCCACATTTTATATCGGAAGGCCAAAACATTGAACTTAAAAGCCAAAATCAACTTGGAATCTTTATTATAAATGTAGACACTATAAAATATCTTTAGGAGTTTTTTTATTTAAAGTGTTAGGTTGGGCAATAATTTAAATTATTTTCACATATCTACTTCTGTTGTGACGATGTATATAAATTTGTTACATTATTACAAACCATCTACTACTGCTGTATCTTCATTTTCAAATCTAGACTCCTATTGCTTCTTAAAATGTAATAACCGCACTTGCTTAACATAATTTATAGGATGTTCACAATTTATACCATACATTTAGAAAATGGTTTTTAAACTGTATATGAACTGATTGACGATTAATTTCAATCAATAGGATTAGGCAACATGATAGGTTAAATTCTACAATCAAGATGCATTGCAATTTTGGGACCGACTGGAAAAGTACATATATTGAACGAACATTGAGATGAGGTTGTTCGACCATCGTGATTAGTGACTACGAGCTCAGGGATTAAGGATTACTCAACCTTAGTAGATCTCTAAGGAGATAGAAGTAAAGATCTCTACAGAACGAGACTCTCTGCCTCCAAACGCGAAGTCTAACTATTATAATTTACAAGCTCAAATAACTCCATAGAGAAGCAAGAAAACACTAGGGATAGGCAGATTAAAATGACTTTAGCTAACCTACGGAATAACGAATTTTGAAGGTAGTATCATTGACTAGTCAATGGTAGTATTATAAGCTTAAGGTTAAGCTATATGACCTACGGCGTAATAAATGCCAGGCGAGATTAAATTTTTACATTACAAGCAAGCTCGCCCAAACCCCTTAAAGAACAAAGGCTAATCCAGAAAGTAACAACGTGCTTCGCAGCATCAAACTTTGATCAACGAATAAAATGTTGTTTTCAAAATCATATTTAGTAATATAATCGTAAATACAAAATTGCAACCTCTTAGTTATTATTTTTATCTTACAGTTACTGTATATCTAAATATTTGAGGGAGTGCTTCAATTTCATTCCTTTTTACTCAATATTGTTTACTATAGATTCAATAATCCGATTAAACTCCGTTTATGGAAGAAGGATTTTACATTTCTACTATATTACACAATTTTGTAGGGATCGGAAATAAATAACAAACAATAAACAATGAAATTTCAATTGAACCACCCAGTGTTTGAATTAATTATCACACAACCGAGAGAATTCCATGGAAATATAGGTTTGAAATCGATCAAACTTATTTGATAAACTTTACTCCACTCTGGTCCATTCATTTACATCTGCAACCGTGCAATCTGATAAACCAAATTAATGTGATATTCAACTAATCATCCAAGCACCAGCACAGAAATAAACTCAAAGAGTTCGTATATACGGCGTTTGTAGTTTCTGGGTACTTTTAACAAACAAAAATTAAAGTCCACTACCGTAAAGACTACGGCGAAAGTTACTTCCTCTTGGGAAATAAGTTAAAACATACAACTAAAATCTGAAATATTAAAAATAAACTCACCATTGGTAAACTCAGGGTCGTTGTAGGTTTTGTAATCTTCGTTGGGACAGACAAGATATTCCGTCGTCTGAAAGAAAACACCAAGATAAGTTGGTAAACAAACAAAAAATCAAAGAGTATATTTTGTTAAAAAATACCGATGATGTGATCCAATTTTTCCATCAGTATAAAAGCACTTGCATTCAACGAAAATTGTCGTTACAAATAGTTTTTAAACATACGAAATCGTAAAAGTATAACAGCCATCGTACGACATCTGGAGTTTGTTGCACTGAAACACAGTACGATTCTTTAGCACAACAGACTCAAGTTGATTAATTCATCAACACGCTAATTGTGACAAGTCAGTTGTGCTAATTAGCACTGCGAAGAAAGAATGCAACAAATCCCAGCCGATCTCTTAAGTCAGTATTCTAAGCCAATACTCGAGTTGTTTGTTACCCACCAAATCATGTACTGGTTGAATTGCAGTACATTTTACGAGTGTAACATTGTAGTGGAAGTTCTATGTTGAGATGTCAAATTGTCTTTGAATCCTGAAATAGGTACCCCGTCATTATGGACCAGCTGTAGTCAATTATTTATTAAGAAGAACATAGCTTATTGAGCTTTAATCGTTAAGCTGAAAATATCATACAAACATTATAAATACCCCCGCCGCAGCAAACCTGCAGACTAAGCGAATTTCCTTTTGCCTGACTGGATTTACACTAAAATGTCTCCTTAAAATATCACATTTATTTCCTATTTAAATAGCATTAGTTTAACGAGTACTTGCGTTTGCTGCAACAGGGAGATTTAAACGGGTGGTGTTTTTGGTCTCTAGGGACCTCAAAACGAAAAAGTAAATCGGTCCCGGGTCCAGGTCTTACCATGAGTACTACGGTAATAGCGTATTTCCTATAAGGGAAATTCGCTAAAAGCTAAAAACGGAATTATTTTAAAAATAACTTGAGGATTATAATTTTCCCAGTTGTGTTGGCCAATTAGGAAGATATAGTCACCAAATTACAGTGGTTTTCATCAACCTTCACATGCCATTACCAAGGCCACAGATACAACAGTATTGCGTGACAATTGTAGGCCTACGATACACAGTCGCAGCCCAATTTTAACTCATTTGTTTCATCACATTTACTATCCGCGCTAACCCAAAATCAACAGAATGTTCACACATAATTACAAAGCTTCAAGCTTCAATATTTACAACTTTCAACATACCCAACTTAAACTCTTTAAATGTATAGCCTACGACCATGTTTTCGAAAATTTCAGTCCCAGTATTTTCTTGTTTCGCACTTGAGCTTAATCCAAGTCAATACTACTTTTTAAGTCCTGAATGTAAACTACGTCTAACTATCATAATGACTAGGCCTAATAATTAGCCACAAAACAATATTGATTCTAAAACCTGCGGCACAGAGAAAGTAAACGAATGGTTTGTTTCAGTAGACGATTTCAAAGCTAAACAAATCATTGAAAATATCCTGAGGCAGAATATTGTATTTTCGTCTGCAATATTATCACTCCATAATGAGTTAGTATATAGCTAATTTGGCTGTTTAGCATGCTTCAATGCATAGTAATGGACAAAACAATTTTATGTCCTTGGACGCTAGGCACGAGCCCGGGATTGTTTTTCACATTATTTCAGGCTAGACCTAGGGGTTGCGCCATTATCACTTAGATAAAATCCATTGGTGACTTGGCGGGATTAGAACCACTAGACCAATTCACTCCCCCGATTGACAAAACAACAGAAGCATAATATTTACCAAATCTACCTGCCGTTGAAATGGACGACCAAGAGATCACAAACGCGAATAAAAATAATAAAACCACTATCACTTGTTATCTACGTTGATTGTGTACTATCTAAATTGCCATGCAGACGACACACTGGCTACGTACACATCTGCTGTTCCAACAATACTGAACATATATTACGCACTTACATTGAGGTACTGACAATAGCAATGGGACGAACATAACCTCCGTCACATAAATCATAACACAATAATATGCTGCAGTTGGTCTGGACCTAAAGACGGCTTTGGACCAAACAAAAGTTAACATGACATAGCCCAACCTAATATAGCATAACCTTACAGAACCTAACCTAACATAGCCCAACTTACAGAACCTAACCTAACATAGCCTAACTTACAGAACCTAACCTAACATAGTCCAACTTACAGAACCTAACCTAACATAGCATAACCTTACAGAACCTAATCTAACATAGCCTAACCCAAGTTCATTAACATCCCCTTTATTTTCACTGTTCGAATTTGAATAGTCGCTTATCTTGAAAAAGTCCTTTATTGTAAATATGCCAACTGTAAATGTACATACTGTAATTTGATTTTTTCACAACCGATTTAAAAAACGATGTGTTTATAATGACTAAGAAGATGAGAAACAAGGCGGTTGAGATGTCGTGAAGGCGTTGTGTAATTGAACACGAAGATGGCCGGAAGGCGGCGAACGATGGTTTGCGGTTTTAATTAAAATCACATCTCGGCAGGGGGAGTGCTACCGCGTGAAGCGTTCGTTAGCTTTGGCGGCTATTGTTGAAAAATGGAGAGTTACTTCGAAATTCCCTATCACGACAAAACAAAACACGGTTCAACACGTTCAGAGAGTGCGACAAGTGTTTGACCAGTTCCCAAACCCGTTAATAATATAATGTATTAAATGCTGAATATAAAATAAATTCCTTACATAATTTTGCCTGGGCAGAATGCCAACTACTGACCAATTACAAATACTCAATACAATCAGTTTTTTTTTACAAACGATTTTCTATAATAAGTCTTGTTATTCTTGCAGTAAACAATTTTTGTTTGTTTCAGTAAACGTGACACTTGATCAATCTAGGGCCACACTTGGCGACTTTGTCGCGGCGACAAAGTCGCTGCATCAAGGAATGAAAGTGCGTAGCATTAAATTAAATGGAGGCGGCCACACTAAGCGACTCGTGACCAGCGACCACCGGCGACAGAAAAACAAACGCGACCGGGAGCGTTTTTCGGTCTCGGCGACAAATACGCTCCCCATGTTATCTTATGACACCGACCATACGGGGACAAGTCGCTCGCTCACACACCCTTTGCTGCTCTATTTCCATATCTATATTGTACAGTTATGGACTGGATTTGTTGAATGGTAAATATGCTTTTAAAATATCAATATTGTCATCGACAAAATAAGTGTTGACATGTTAACATATGTGCTGTAGAATATATGAGATTTAACTCTTCTGGTATAAGAGGAATCCAAAACCTCGTGTATTTTTCAAATGTTGTGCGTCGTCTTCAATGTCAATAGCTCGCCAAAGCTATGTTCATCCAAAATATTACTAAATATTTACAAAATTAAAAGTTAGGGAATTCACTCCATACCTGTGAGGTTGCATGGTAAGACCTAAACCCGTGACCGATTTGATTTTTCGTTTTGAGGTCCTCAGAGGCAAAAACCCCCACCGTTCAAATTCATATATACGTAATATGTATTTACATATACAGTGTATACATTTAGGTCTATGTGCCAATTAGCGCGATAACTTGAGCAAAAATGATGAAATTTTAGTAGAATTTGGTACAAATGTTAAAACCAACGTTAATTCAAACGTGCTCGCAAATCAAAATGATCGGACCATAGGAATGGGAGGTTTAAGGGGCTTTAAGTTTAATGGGGTATAAAATTGTTTTTTTCTTTTTTTTGACCCTTAAAATTAAATTTCACAATTTCCTTCTGTAGGATTATTGTTATCAGCTGAGTTATAAAGTTATGAATCATCTGCTATTTGGTTTGTTTACATGATTATTGTTTTTGTAAATAAATAGTTTTGGTTGAGTTTACTTAAATGAGTTTTATAAATTAATTATTTTATATTGGCGACGAGGAAATGCCGAGGAAAACAGACCAATCTCAGTATAAGAGTGTAATTGATTTTAGTAACATGTCTTGCATACAAGATAGAATGAGCAGATTTTCATTTAAAGAGTACAATAGTGAACAATTGTGGGAAGACTACATAGCTCGTTTTGAGTTGACCTGCAGAGTTAAGGGACTGGGTGGTGCTGACTCAGAAGAACAGGCGGCTCGGCGAGATCTTCTATTGGCAAATATCGGAGAGGAGCACCTCAGGGCACTGTCGGACCAGATGTATCCAAGGGCCTGGGAGGAGTGCACCTACGACGAAGTCAAAGAGGAAGCCAACCGGTTGTTCAAGCCTACAAGGACCCTTTTTGCAACAAGGTTTGAGTTTGAAAGAGCTATAAGAAAAGATGGTGAGACATTTATTTTGTTTTATAACAGATTGAAGTCTTTAGCTAGAAGTTGTAAATATGGAGATAGCTTAGATGAACGAGTACGAGATAGGTTTGCAGTAGGAAGCAACTGTCCAGAATTTGAAGTCGAAGTCAGACAAAGATGGCCCGAGGGAGTTGATAACCGAGGTGAGCGAGTTAAGTCAACAGTAGTACTAGAGTTAGCTCAATCCATGGAACGTGCGAGAGAAGAAGTTTCCAAACATGCGTGTAAAAATGAGATTTTCAAAGTAAGTGACAGTAAGGAAAATAGGAAACCAGAGGTACAGAAATCTACTGGCTTCAATAGGTGTTATAGATGTGGGTTTACACATGACCCTAGTGAAGATAGGTGTCCTGCTATTTCTGCTGTGTGCAAGAAATGTTCAAAGAGAGGCCATTTCGCAAGAATGTGCAAAAGTAAAAATAATTTTGTCAAGAGAACAGATGGTAATTTGAGAAAAGTAGATGATTCTTGTAATCAAACTTATGATGATGAGTGTAGTTCTGATATTGATGTTAGTGGTACACAAATTAGGTCAGTCAAGAGTAAGGTTCCCAGAGCTACAATAGATGTAGAATTGAACGGGTATAATGTTAGAATGGAGTTTGATTCCGGGGCTCGGGTAAGTGCTATAAGTTTGTCTCTTTGGGATAGGATAAATTCAAGTGGCGAATCTCTCAAAAAGACGTCTGATGTCATCACTGGCTATGGGAAAAATAAGCTAGAAGTCATGGGTAAGGCTTTTGTGGA